CCATTCCTCAGTACCACATAGAAAAAACCAGAAGTGGTGCTGTGGCTCAAGTGGTAGAGTGCCAACCTTGAGCAGAAGAAGCTATGGGACAGTGCCCAGGCCCTAAGTTCAAGCCCCAGGACTGGCCAAAGGAAAAAAAACATTCACATTGGGCACTGGTGGCCCCCACCTGAGTTGCTTAATCTTAGCAACTCTGGAGGCTGAGTTCTCTGAGGATCTCAATTCAAAGCCAGCCTAGGGGGGAAAAAAATCCATGAGACTCTTATCTCCCAGCAAAAAGCCAAAAGTTGAGGTATCTCAAGTGGTAGTACGTTAGCCTTGAGTGGAAAAGCTAAGGGACAGCCCCCAGGCCCCCAGTCCATAGGACTGTAGTTTTGTTTGAGTTGCCAGCATTTGGTGTTGACTCTGGCAGCTTTGGCATGTGCTGGCATTGCTTCCTTCCCTAGTTCTTCCACACATCAAGCAGCTTCATTATGCTCTAAATTAATGCTGACTGCAAAGAAGGTTCTGTAGCTCTTTTGTCCATTTTTTATTTGCTGGGTTGGCGACTAAACCTAGGGCCTTGCATGTTGGTAGGAGGCAAGCATTTTACTACCAAACCCCATTCCCAAGACTTTGGTTTTGTTGTTAGTTCTTTTTTGTTGTTGGTGGTGGTGGTGGTGCTGGTGGTGGGGCCTGAACTCAGCCTGGGCACTGTCCCTGTGCTCTTCAGCTTAAGGTAGGCGCTCTACCACTTGAGCCACAGTGCCACTTCCATCTTTTTCTGCTTATGTGGTGCTGAGGAATAGAACCCAGGACCTCATGCATGCAAGGCAAGCACTCTACCACTGAGCCACCTTCCCAGCCCCCTTGTTGTTAGTTCTTTAGTTGCAATAGTAATCTTGTTTTTTTGTTTTGTTTTGTTTTTTAATTATTAATCTTTAAGGCACTTTCCATAATCCAAGCATGGTCTGTTGTAGTCTTTGTGTCTCTGGAGTGAGATGTTTGTCTCACATTTTGGTCTGCTGGCTGGGTCATTATGTCATAATTCTGGAATCAGAAGGAAAAAAGCCTCATGAAGGACAAGTCTGGGGACACTTGGACCCAAATGTATGTAAGGTGTATTGAAGTAATGACAGAATGGCTTTGGAATTTCTTTTCTTTTTTTGGGGGGGGGTCCGGTCGTGGGGCTTGAACTCTGGGCCTGGGCGCTGTTCCTCAGCTCTTCAGCTCAAGGCTAGTGTTCTACCACTTGAGCCACAGCGCCACTTCTGGCTTTTTTCTTTTTGCTTATGTGGTGCTGAGGAATCAAACCCAGGGGCTCATGCATGCAAGGCATGTGCTCTACCACTGAGCCACCTTCCCAGTCCCTGGCTTTAGAATTTCTAATAAAAGTAGCCAATGTAGATCAGCTTCCATTCAGTCACTCCAGACTTCTAAATTGTTCAGGAATGAGTGTTCTATGGGCAGGGGACAGTAAAGTGGAGGAACTGTTGATGAAATTGAGCAGAACAACGAACTTGGAAACTGTATTTGAATGGAAACTCATCAGATGTTTGGGGAGATAAGTTGACTTGGGTGCCTTGTCCTCTCTAGGAGGTGGTATTTATCCATCTGTTATGTAAAAAGGAGGGTTGTTTGGTTGGTTGTTTTTTAATCCAGTACTGGGGCTTCCACTCAGAACCTGAACACCATCCCTTAGCTTTGTTCTGCTGAAGGCTAAGCTTTACTATTTCTAGAGATCCAAAGTAGCCACTGGTGTGATTGGCTTGCAATTATTTACAGCATATGTTTTTGTCACAGTTAATTTGGGGTGATGCTCTACACATCGTGGGAAGAAGTAGGGAGGTACATGATACCTGACTTCCTGTCATCATCGTTTCTTATTTATGGTGGAGAAGCTTAAATTAAATGACTCACCTGGGGTCAAACATATAATCATTGTTAGAGACAACATAGGGACAACACCTCTTCAAACTATCTGACATGCCTTCCACCACTAATTCCTGCAGCTGCATCTCCTAAACAGAGACCCTCTCCCAACCCAATCCTTCTGCTGAGGCAGCAGTAGGAGGGTGGTCCTGACCAGTCTTGTCAGAAGAGTCCTATTCGGGACCCTCCCATGGGCCTTCAAAGCCAGTTCTGATCTCACATGTCTGTTAAGACCTTTGTAATGTCTTCCCTTGTTAGGGGGTAATATTAGAAAACGTTGTTTTTTTGTTTTTTTTTTTTTGTCGGTCGTGGGGCTTGAACTCTGGGCCTGGGCGCTGTCCCTCAGCTCTTCAGCTCAAGGCGAGCGCTCTACCACTTGAGCTACAGCGCCACTTCCGGTTTTCTGGTGGTTTATTGGAGATAGGAGACTCATGGTCTTTCCTGCTCGGGCTGGCTTTGAACCACGATCCTCAGATCTCAGCCTCCTGAGTAGCTAGGATTACAGGCGTGAGCCACCAGCGCCCGGCTAGAAAACGTTTTCTAATGTTATCCTTGTGAGCTTAGGGCCTTATTCCTTCTCTTCTGGCACCATCCTCAGGCTTTGTGCTTTGTTCATATTAGGTATTACATTAGGTGATATATTTGTTGCAAGAATGAGTGATTCTTTTTTATTGGTCAGAAGTGTGAGAATATGACCCCAGAGCAAATGTGTGCCCGCCATCCTCACTGTCCCTCCCTTCCTCCCCTTTTCCCACAGCCTGCCATATCGCTCGGGGAGGGGGAAAGGGAGAGGAAAAAAGAGCTGTATCCCTGAGGAACCAATTCCTCTCCTCCCCTCCACCAAACCAGTGAAAGTTGGGGTTCAGTTGTGTGCCTGATCTGTGCTATCTGCATTTAGCTGCGTCTGATTGTTATGTACAGGTAGTAGGGCATACTGGCTAGAGGCATAGGCCCTTGGATAATTTCATACCTTTCTGTGTGCCTTACTCTCTGTAAAATGATGATAACCCCTTAGGGTTGTTCCCTGGGCATGTGAAATCTTGAGCATAAACCAGGCATAACCAATTAAAGCTGGCTGCCATTATATTACACTCTGAATAGATGCTGTCATTTATGTCTCAAGATTCCTAGGTCTGCTGCCTCTGTGTCCCTCACCTTGCCCAAAGAACCCAGACTGTTGATGGGGAAGAGCTCTGGGGGAGGTGAGAGTGGAAACCCAGAATGTTTCTGTGGGTGTTCAGCCTGTCATGATAGATGTTCACTGTTCTTTTTCTGTCTCTTTTTTTGGGGATAAGAGGAGGTGAGACATTGGTCGTGGGGCTTGAACTCTGGGCCACAGCACTATCCCTGATCTCTTCAAAGCTAGTGCTCTACCACTTGAGCTACAGCACCACTTCTGGTTTTCAGGTGGTTAATTGGAGATAAGAGTCTCACGGACTTACTTGCCCAGGCTGGCTTTGAACCACGACCTTCAGATCTCAGCCTCCTGCGTAGCTAGGATTACAGGAATAACCCACTGGAGCCTAGTTTATCATAGGTAGTATTTTAGTGTGTCAGTATGGATATACTATAATTATATGTTTACATTGTACATTAATATGGTACTTGTAATCCTAGTACTCAGGAGGCTGATCTCTGGAGAATCACTGTTTGTACAGTTTTTTTTTTTTGCCAGTCCTGGGGCTTGAACTCAGGGTCTGGGCACTGTCTTTGAGCTTCTTTTTGCTTAAGGCTAGCGCTCTACCACTTGAACCACAGAACTACATCCAGCCATTTCCGTTTATATGGTACTGAGGACTCGAACCCAGGATCACCATTTGAAGCCAGTATGATCAGAAAAGTCCCAGAGACTCCATTTCCAAAATAACCAGCAAGGAAGTGGAGCTGTGGCCCAAGAATAAGAATACTAGCCTTGAGCAGAAAAGCTCCTGAGTTCAAGCCCTAGGACCAGCCCAAAAACAACAACAAAATAACCAGCAAAAAAGCTTGAGGCATCCATGGCTAAAGTGGTAAAATACTAGCGGAGTTTAAGTCCTAGTACTGGCAAAAAAAGAAGAAAAAAATAAAACATACCAAAGAATTTCCTTCTTGGACTTTTAGCCAACCAACTACTCATCTGTATCAGATTAGTAGGCTTTTATTATACAAATGGATGGAGTTATCTACTATGTTTTGTTGACTCACAGAAGACTGGTTTGTCAGCTTTGGTTTGTAGGACCAGAAATATGACATAACAGCTATGTTAATAACTATTTTAACACTAAAATAACCAGCATCTTTGGATTCCATTTTCAATGGAATGTTGCCTACAAGTCAAACCAACCTTTGCAGATTTTTCGTCACATGCCTTTTACTTTGCCTGTTGAACACCATGTGGGTTATGGATTTTTCTGGTTCAGCATAAGCTCAAAGGACAACCCAGGGTTGGTGTGAGTCAAAGTCCAGATGAAGATGAGGGCTGTGGAGAGCAGAAATGTGGGTGTGAGGTGGGAAGTTGGGAAACTCATATTCCTGAGAGTTTGCTGTTGGGTTGAAATTTTTTACTTCAAGGCATCAGGCATCTAGGCCCAAACAAGAATGAAAGATCCTGCTAATGTCTTACTTCACCATTCTGAGATTGTTGATAGGTCAGAATTTGTAGCTAGGGAAGCAGGAAAGTGTATGAGACTCATATATCCAATGAACCACCAAAAAAGCCGGAAGTGAAGGTATATGTGGCTCAAGTGGTAGAGGACCAGCCTTGGCAAAAACAAAAAAAAAAGCTAAGGGGGCTGGGAAGGTGGCTCAGTGGTAGAGTGCTTGCCTTGCATGCATGAGGCCCTGGGTTCTATTCCTCAGCACCACATAAGCAGAAAAAGCTGAAAGTGGTGCTGTGGTTCAAGTGATAGAGTGCTTGCCTTGAGCAAAAGAAGCTCAGGGACAGTGCCCAGGCCGAGTTCAGGCCCCACAGCCAACCAAAAAAACAAAACAAAACTAAGGGACAGTGTCCAAAAAAGGGAGGGAGGAGGTAAAAGAAAGAAGAGAAAAAAAATTTTGTGCAAACCCATTAGCAATCTGCAACCTGAAATCCTCCTCTCTTGTTCTTGCAGGTGCTGGGACGATGTTTCTTGACAGTGGTGCAAGTTCATTTCCAGTTTTTAACTCACGCATTGCAGAAGGTCCAGCCTGTAGCTCACTCTTGTTTTGCTGAGGTGGTTGTGCCAGAGAAAAAGAACAGTAGCAGTGGTAGCAACTTGTCTGGCATGGGCCACACTCCCGAACTGGAGGAAGCTGTGCGATCCTGGCGGGGGGCTGCTGAGGTAACTGGGCTTTGAGAGATTGGGACCAGATGCATTTTTTTCATTCTGGGAACTAGGTCCATCAAGTCTAAAATCCCTAAAACAAAGGCAAGGCTCAAAATGGAATCATACCAGCTTGGGCCCCATCTCAGGGTCCACTTCAGTGGTTGAGTGCTAGCCTTATGCTGAAGAGCTCAGGGACAGTGCCAGGCCCAGAGTTCAAGCCCCAGAACAAAAAACAAAAACAAATCAAATGAGAGGCTAAAGGGGGCCTTTGCTTCTTGGTTTTCAAAGAGCCATTTCCCTACTGTAATTCCAGCTACTCAGGAGGCTAAAATATGAAGATTATGGTTTGAAGCTAGGCGAGCAGACAAATCCCTGAGGTTTGGTTTGGTTTGGTTTTGTGTTTTGCCAATCCTGGGGTTTGAACTCTGGGTCTGGGCACTGTCTCTGAGCATTTTGCTCAAGGATAGCGCTCAACCACTTGAATCACAGCACCACTTCCAGCTTTTCCTGTTGGTTAATTGGAGATGAGAACCTCAAGGCCTTTCCTGCCCTGGCTGGCTTCGAACTGCTATCCTCAAATCTCAACCACCTGAGTAGCTAGGATTACAGGTATGATCCACTGGCACCCGTCTTCCCTGAGGTTTTTATCTCCAGTTAACACACCCATCCTTGAGGGGAAAAAGCTAAGGGAGAGTGCCCAGGCCCCAAATTCAAGCCTTAGTACCAGTCAAAAGATAAAAAAGAAAGAAAACTTAAGGTTGAAACTCCTTCAGGCGACAGTGTTTCAGTAAATGCCTGCTTTGTGCCAGGCCTGTGCGAAACCCCAAGATGCCAACCTGTGCCACAGCTTGCTGGAAGAAAGCTTAGAAAAACGGTTCCAGAGTGTGGTGGAGATGTACAGATCCCAAAGAAAAGGCCCTATTTGTGCATGGGTGTGGTACAAGAAAGCCTCTCTGAAAAGAAGGATCAGGAGAAGGCTGACACCTGAGTTAGGAAAGATAGGGTGTAGCTGGCCAGGGAGCAAGGGGAGAGAAGTGCTCAACCAGCCAGGCAGCTAGGTAGGTAGGCCAACTGGACAGTTTGGTAGACATTGAGGTGGCAGCTCCCCCCTCCCCCCTCCAGCCATATCCACATTAGCATGAAAGCTCAGTGAACATAGACAAGTTGTATGGAGCTTTGTTATTATTGTTGTTGTCAGTTGTGGGGCTTGAACTCGGGGCCTGAGTACCGTTCTTTTACTTAAGGTTAGTGCTCTACTACTCTGAGCCACAGCTCCACTTCTGGTTTGAGTGATTAATTGGAGATAAAAGGGGACTTTTCAGCCCAGGCTGGCTTTGAACTGCAATCCTCAGATCTCAGCCTTGAGTAGCTAGGATTACAGGTGAGAGTCACAAGTGCCCTGCTTTGGTTTGTTTTTTGTTTTGTTCTTAATATCAGTGCTGCCTTTGAACTCTTTTTGTTCAAGGCTAGCACTCTACCACTTGAGTCATCGCTCTACATCCAGCTTTTTGGTGGTTCAGAAATGAGTCTCACAAAACTCTTGCTTAAGCTGTCCTTGAACCATGGACCATGATCCTTAGCCTCAGCCTCCTGACTAGCTAGTTTTATAGATAGGTATGAACCACTGGCTGTTGTTACTCTCTTAATTTTGCTGGTACCTGTAGTATTCTTCTTTACCTATTAGCCACTGTTTATGTCACAGGCGACATCTAGACTGAGAGAAAGAGGCTGTGATGGCCGCCTGGCAGGAATTGAAGTCCAGCAGCTCTTTTGTTCCCAGAGTGCAGCTATTCCCGAACACCAGCTGAAGGAACTGAACATAAAAATTGACAGCGCTTTGCAGGTAAAGTCTTTTTAAACCTAGCATATAGATAGAAAGTGATATAACAGAAGGAGAGAATTCAAGTTGTGGTATTGGGCCAGTTGGAAAAACTAATAAAGTAGTTACTTATTGGCCTCAAGTCTTTCAATAACTGTAGAAAAATTTAATTCCCGTTTTGGTTGGACTTTATCTTATTCTAACCAGCTGTGTCTAATCTTGATTCTTGAAAATACTTGCTTTGCAGGCATATAAAATAGCTCTGGAAAGTTTAGGCCACTGTGAATACGCAATGAAAGCTGGCTTCCACCTGAACCCAAAGGCAATTGAGGCAAGTTTGCAGGTATGTTTTTCTGTCAGGTAGTGCTGGGAGCTGTGGGAGGTGATTGGCCAGGCATGTGTGGGCCAGCCGTGGCTCACCTCCTCCTCTCTTACCCCTTCTTCAGGGCTGCTGCAGCGAGGTGGAAGCCCAGCAGACAGGCCGGAGACAGACTCCCCCTCAGCCAATGCAGTGTGAGCTTCCCACTGTCCCCGTGCAGATAGGACCACACTTCCTGAAGGGCGTCTCCTTTAACGAGTCAGCGGCCGACAATCTGAAACTGAAGACGGTAGTTTTCCATGTACTTCCAGTAATGGGCATAAACTTGGAGTTCTCAAGGGGAATCTAAGGGCTTGTGAAGAGTGTAGAATTAAAAACAGGAGGTCAGGTCAGGCCGGGCACTGGTGGCTCACACCTGTAATCCTACTCAGGAGGCTGAGATCTGAGGATTGCAGTTCAAAGCCAGCCCAAGCAGGAAAAGTCCATGAGACTCTTATCTCCAATAAACCACTCAGAAAACTGAAAGTGGCTCTGTGGCTCAAGTGGTAGAGCAGCGGTAGCCGTGAGCTGAAGAGCTCAGAGACAGCGCCCAGGCCCATAGTTCAAGCCCCACAACCTACAAAAAAAAAAACAACAAAAACAGGAGGTCTTGTCTTGGCCAGGTACCAATGGCTCATGCTTATAATCCTAGCAACTCAGGAGGCCAAGATCTGAGGTTTGCAGTTCAAAACCAGCCCAAGCAGGAAAATCCCTGCATCTCTTATCTCCAGTTAACCACCAGAAAACGACTGAGCTATGGCTCAGTGGTAGAGTGCTAACTTTTAGCACAAAAGCTCAGGAGCCATGCCCAAGCTCTGAATTCAAGCCCCAATATTCTCTCTGTTTCTCTGTTGTTCTCATTCTCTCTCTCTCTCTCTCTCTCTCTTTCTCACTCACTCTCTCTCTCACCCTCTCACATACACACACACACACACAAGATGTTAAAGAAGGAACCTGTGATCCTTCTCAATATAGTGATATCTAAAGATGACACACCAGCAACTTGTTTTTGTAGTGTTAGGGTTTGAACCCAGGACCTCACACATGGGAGACAAGTGTTCTACCACTGAGCCACAACCCTAGCACTGTGGTGACATTCTTTCAATGAAATATTTGCTGAGAAAATCTTATTCAAACATTTAACCTAAAGGATTTGAAAGTACACTGTAAATATGGTATATGAATGTTTTTGCTGGACTTTGAGAATTGAGAGGAGAGGAAATCTTACATTAATACATACTAATAGCTTTTTGTGCAGCATGGAGCTAGCCATCATGCCATGTACTGTGTCATTTAATGTTGCCCTATCAGGTGTAACTACACCCCATCACCCATTTAGCAGATAGGGAACAGAAGCCTAAGGAAGTTGTAGAACTGGAGACTGAGCTCATGAAGGCTTATTTCCAGAGTCTGTGTACCTGACCACTTACTTGATCATCGAAAATAAGAGTTAATGGGTTTTTGTTTTTGTTTTGTTTTGGTGCTGGTCCTGGGGCATGAACTCAGCCCTGAGCATTATGCCTGAGCTTTTTTTTTTTTGGGTCCTGTTGTGGAGCCTGAACTCTGGCCCTGAGCGCTGTCCCTCAGCTCTTCAGCTCAAGGCTAGCACGCTACCACTTGAACCACAGCTCCACTTCTGGCTTTTTTCTTTTTGCTTATGTGGTGCTGAGGAATCGAATCCAGGACCTCAAGCATGCAAGGCAAGCGCTCTACCACTGAGCCACCTTCCCAGCCCTATGCCTGAGCTTTTGACTCAAAGCTAGCACTCTACTACTTGAGCCACAGCTCTACTTCCAGCTTTTTTTGGTGTTTGATTGTAAATAAGTCTCATAGACTTTCCTGCCCAGTTTGGCTTTTAACCATGATCCTCAGATCTCAGCCTCCTGAACAGATAGGATTACAGACATGAACGACCAGCACCTAGCTTAACAATTGAGGATTTGACTAGTTTTTTTTGTGGGTTTTTTTTTTTTGTTTGTTTGTTTGATTTTTCTTTTGTTTGGTCAGTCATGGGGCTTGAACTCTGGGCTTGGGCACTATTCCTCAGCTCTTCAGCTCACTCTGGAGCCACTGTGCCACTTCTGGTTTTCTAAGTGGTTTATTGGAGACAAGAATCTTTTTTTTTTGTCAGTCGTGGGGCTTGAACTCTGGGCCTGGGCGCTGTCCCTCAGCTCTTCAGTTCAAGGCGAGCACTCTACCACTTGAGCTACAGCACCACTTCTGGTTTTCTGGTGGTTTATTGGAGATAGGAGTCTCACAGTCTCTCCTGCCCGGGCTGGCTTTGAACCACGATCCTCAGATCTCAGCCTCCTAAGTAGCTAGGATTACAGGCATGAGCCACCAGCGCCTGGCAGAGACAAGAATCTTAATGGACTTTCCTGCCCAGGCTGGCTTTGACCCATGATCCTCAGATCTTAGCCTCCTGAGTAGCTAGATGGCGTGAGCCACCAGCACCTGGCTAGTATTTTATTTATTTATTTATTTTTTGTCGGTCATGGGACTTGAACTCTGGGCCTGGGCACTGTCCCTCAGCTCTTCAGCTCAAGGCGAGCGCTCTACCACTTGAGCTACAGCTCCACTTCCGGTTTTCTAGTAGTTTATTGGAGATAGGAGTCTCACGGTCTTTCCTGCCCGGGCTGGCTTTGAACCGCGATTCTCAGATCTCAGCCTCCTGAGTAGCTAGGATTACAGGCGTGAGCCACCGGTGTCCAGCTTAGTATTTTAGAAAGATTCAGAATTTCCAGATTTCTTGGCCAATCTGCTCAAGAGATAATAAATAACGCTGTTAATGCTATTATAGAAATCATGATGGCACACGCCTATAATCCTAGCACATAAGAGCTAAAGCAGAAGGATCATGAGTTCCAGGCCAACTTGGGCTATATAGTGTTGACACTATCTATAAAAAAAAATATTTTAAGTCATATTTAAGTCATATTTATGTACTAAAGCTTGTTATCCATATTTAGCCATTTTCTCTGGGGTTGACTGATGGTAATTAAGGAATTCAAATGTCATTATTTGCATATGCTTAAAATGTTTTTCTCTCTCAGATGATGATATCATGCATTTCTACAGCTTTTAGAATCCTGTGTGTCTTTATCTTGAGATGAATGCTTTTCTCTTCCATCTGCAGCACACAATGTTACAGCTGATCAAGGAAGCAGGCTGCTACAATGGAATCACAGCCAGAGAAGATTTTCCTGTCACAGAAGTGCTGAACCAGGTGTGCCCATCCACATGGCGGGGTGCCTGCAAGACGGCTGTGCAGCTGCTGTTTGGCCAGGCAGGACTGGTGAGTGAGTAGGATGGGCAAGGGAGAGAACAGAGATATCTCAAGCATGAGCCAATGTGTTGCTGCATATGCGTGATAATACCAAATGATTTTCTGAGTTCTTCAGTGCTAAAGAATGTAGACTAGGGCCAGGCGCCAGAGGCTCACGCCTATAACCCTAACTACTCAGGAGGCTGAGATCTGAGAATCACGGTTCAAAGCCAGCCTGGGCAGGAAAGTCCGTGAGACTCTTATCTCCAATAAACTACTAGAAAACTGGCTGGAAGTGGCGCTGTGGCTCAAGCCGTAGATCACTCGCCTTGAGCTGAAGACTTCAGCACAGGGACAGTGCCCATGCCCAGAGTTCAAGTCCCAGGACCGACCAAAAAAATGTAAACCAGATTTTTTTAAAGTAAAGAATAGCTGGGCCGGGCGCTGGTGGCTCAGGCCTGTAATCCTAGCTACTCAGGAGGCTGAGATCTGAGGATCGCGGTTCAAAGCCAGCCTGGGCAGGAGAGACCGTGAGACTCCTATCTCCAGAAAACCGGAAGTGGCGCTGTAGCTCAAGTGGTAGAGCGCTCGCCTTGAGCTGAAGAGCTGAGGGACAGCGCCCAGGCCCAGAGTTCAAGCCCCCCGACCGAAAAAAAAAAAAAAAAAAGAACTCCGAAGAGAAGTAATAAATTAAAAGTTCCCTGATGACCAATGAAAGTTCCACTACTGCCAGGCACTGGTGACTGATGCCTATCATCCTAGCTACTTAGGAGACTGAGATCTGAGGATTGGGGTTTGAAACCAACTTGGGCAGGAAAGTCTATGAGGCTCTTATCTCCAATTAACCATCAGGAAACCAATAGTAGAGCTGTGGCACAAAGTGATAGAACACTAGCCTTGAGCTCAGGGACAGTGCCCAGGCCCTTAGTTTAAGCCCCATGCCAAACAAAAAAAATCATAATAATAATCAGATTGGTTTATAATCTTCAAGACTGGGAGAACCATGGTAGTATATTTTCAAAAAAAAAAAAAGTACAAATAAGTCAGGACACGTAGGCTTAAGAAACATGGTTAAGTTTTTTTTAAAAGGTCCCTTCCTATTCAGAGCCCAGAAACTTCCTAGTCCCTTATCCCCTGATTGCAGGACATCTTTGTATATGTCTGACAAAGGACCTTTAGATTTGGATTCTGGGGGCAGGAGGAGAGAGGAAACACCTGTCTGGTCCAACAAAGACTGTTCTTGGACAGGAAGTATTTCCGAGAGAGCAGCTGCAGGAGCTGTTTACAGCATTGGAAATGGACACCATTAGAGATGGAATTTGAGATGATGATAAACAGCTCTGCACAGCTTGACCCCTCCTGAAATATAGATTTGTTTTTAAAGTCTTTTATCATTGTTTTCTTGAAATAATTTTGTGGTAGTGATTGTTGTTGTTTGGGTTTGAGTCTTTGTTGTTGATGTTTAGAGGTAGCCCCATAGCCAAGGTTGCATTGAAATTTGGGATTCTCCTGCCTCAGCCTTCAGAGTGCTGGGATTAGAGGCATGTGCCACCACTTCCAGCTTGAAATTCTTTTAGTTATTAGAAAATACAGGCATCACTTTGTAAGATTCCTTAGATAGGTGGTTACTAAAAAACTCACCTCCAAGAAGCTAGGGGTATGGTGGTGCAAGGGGTAAATCACTGCCTAGTGAGCTCAAGGCCCTGAGTTGAAATGTATTACTGTGCAAACAAGTCTTTCCTCCAGATAAGAAGAGGTCATTGAAGAATGGTTACTTTATCTTGAAGTTGTTCTGAATAGGTCAAGATTAAATCTTTTTTTTTTTTTGGGGTCCGGGCGTGGGGCTTGAACTCTGGGCCTGGGCACTGTCCCTCAGCTCTTCAGCTCAAGGCGAGCGCTCTACCACTTGAGCTACAGC